TTTGAATGGAAAGAGGAACAACCCTTGATACTACCAAGGTAGTTTCAGTGGAAGTCTTCACTGAGTCTGACGAAGAGACTTCACTGGTGGCGATTACACCGTCTGATGCTGATGATACTTTAGCAGGAGTTGTCTTCACTGAGCCTGAAGAAGAAGCTTCAATGATTTTCTTCACCTTGACTACAGGGGCAGTCTTTGTGGATGATTTCACTTTAGTTGATTTCTCAATTTTGGTTACTTTCTTGCTCAAAACTGGTGAACCAGCTTTAGCAGCAGAGGGACACTTACTGGCAACATGTGTTCTTTCACCACAGTGTTTACACTTCCTAAAACTAAAAGTAGCTTTAGGGCCATGAAGTATCAAACTAGAAGTGGGACAAGCTCCAAGGATTCTCTTCTCATTGGTTCTAGGAGGAACCTTTCAGGGAATGGATTCCTTAGGTGAAAAGTTCACCCTGAGCTGTGACTTAGATTTCTAATGTGATTCAGATTTCCTAGTCCCTGAAGAAGAAGAAGTTTTGCAAGTTGAAGGAATAGATTTAGATATATTTATCTTGTTAGACTTCTTAGGAAGGGATACTGTGACAGTGGATTTACCTTTGTGTTTGCACCCAAAACTCAAAGGAGTTCCTTCAAGATGACTCTCAGTAAAGGAAGAGGATTGAGAGGAAGTGTTAGGAATAGAAGAGACAAAAGTACCAAATTTAAGCATGGACCTGTCTTTAATACATTCTTCCTGATCATAGGAAAATCCTAGACCAGTCGTTTTCTTGGCTGAGATCTGAGCGTTAATGATCTCAGAGGCTTTAAGAGAAGCTTTGCACCACCCTTCAATGGTAGCTTTCTCAGCCTTGAGTTCAACGATTGCTCGTTCACGCTTAGCAACAGCGTTCTCACGTTCAACAATGATGGCCTGGTTTACAATAACCTGATCTTTAAGATTTTCTTCAACAGAGGTCAGTTCTTTGATCTTAGAATGACAAATCTTTAATTGCTCATGAAGATCAACGTTAAGCATTTCAGCTTTTGATTTGCCATTGAGGGCATTGTAAAGGTCAACCGTCAGCGTATCTAGTGCAGAGAGACTAGAAGAAGAAGAAGGTTCATTCAGGATACATACCTGAGTAACAAAATATGGCTCATGAAAGGTAGATGCTTTAGAAGAACCTTCGTCAACATCAATGGCTATTAAGCAGACATAAGCTTTATCTTCTTCGTCTGAGGATGATTCATCAGATGATTTAGCCCAGTCATGCTCTTCAGCAATAAGGCCTTTAGCCTTTCGCTGGTTGTTCTTCATCTTCTTGTATTTCTCCTTCAGTTTTAAGTATTTATCATCTTTGGTCCTGAAGGAGGAGAAAGCTTTAGAAGATGGCGTCGCAGTCTTCTTGGATCTGCATTCACTTGCAAAATGTCCGGGCCGGTGACAGTTGTAGCAGACAGCTGAAGCCTTGTCTATTCTTTCAGACTTTGGCTTCTCCCAGAGGGATAGCTGAGGAGATCTGTGGAAATTGCTTTTACTGGCGAACCTCCTAAATGACTTAGTCAGGAGTGCCAGGGACTCATCAAAATCTGTTAAATCAGATTCAGAAATGTCCTCAGAAGAATCTATCTCTGTGATGACCACGGGAGGTAGAGAAGAAACAAAAGGAGTAGAAGTTTCAGAGATCAAAGCTAAAGGAGAGCTTTTCATTTCCCTGGAATCTTTTACAAGATTTCTTTTCAGTTGACGAGATTGCTCATGGTTAAGCAGAATCCCGTATAAGGTAGAAAGAGAAAGAGTGGACATGTCATTTGACATCTTGATACACATGGAAAAGGTGTCCCAAGACTCAGGAAGACATTCTAGAAACTTAGTCAAGGTCTCAGAATTAGAATATTCCCTGTCGACAGCCCTAAGATCAATAAGAAGGCAATTAAATCTTTGATGTACTTCAGACAGTGTCTCGGACTTTCCACAGAGAAAGCTTTCATACTGTCTTACTAGATTGATCTTTCTAGTCTCCTGAACCTGAGTGGTTCCTTCATATTGGACACAAAGAGTATCCTATACGGATTTAGAAGTTTTGAGTTTCATCACAGAGTGATATATCTCATCAGGAAGAGACATAGCTATTATAGACCGAGCACGCGTGTCTATAGTTATTTTCTTCTTGTCCTCATCGCTCCACTGATGTAGAAGCTTTGGAATCTGCCGTTTAGGAGTTGCGGCAGTCGTAGCTGTTGCTGGAACAGCCGGAACAATAGCAAATGGAATATATGGTCCATTTTCTATGTAATGTGGAATTTCAGGATCCACATCTTCCAGAAAGAGGGACATCCGGTTCTTCCAGAGACTAAAGTTGTCATGGACAAACCGGAGAGGTTTGGCAAGAGAGCCATTATCTTTTGTGTGTGTGTTTTAATTTGTAAAGCCATTTGTAAGTAGTAAGTTATCTAAGAAGAGATAAATTAATACAAAAAAATAGCCAAACACAAGGAAAGAAAGAAAACACTGCTCTGATACCACTTGTTGGTCCCGTAAGGGTCTACAAGAATAGAAGCAGTTTGTAGAAGGGGGAATGAATACAAACACAGTATTTTCAAATTTAAAATATATATTTATAGAGAAGATCAATACAGATTTTACAAGATTGTTTGCAGAAAGATAAGGTAATGAAAACCTGTCTAAACAATCTTTGATTACACACAGAGCTTTAGCAAATACAAGAAAAGAGATTGCTAAAAGAAAGATCCTTTACTTAAGCTAGAAGATGCTTGAAGTAAGAATAGGGTTAGAGAGAGATGCACGCTCTCTGCATGGAGAAGAAACACTTCTATTTATACACAGTGCATTAAATGATCATTTAATGCAATATGGTAGGGTTAGAATGCGTGTCAAACCTTAAGAGGAAGGCTTGTCCTTTGCTACAGTGAATAGTACAAAAGCACTATTTCTGAGCAGACATCCTTGCCTAAAGTTGGTGGACAAAGAGTCGACTAATCGGCTCCGTACCGTACTAACTTTTGTAAGGGTATGGGTTTGTCCTTTGTGTGCATAAGGACAAGACAACAACAATCGTTCTAAGCAAGCTTCCTTTGATTGCTGAATGCTGGAATGACCTGGAGGTCTCATCATCATCGCTGAAGCTAGAGCAGCCTTCACACATGTATAGACAGGCTTGTAATCACTGAATACCGCTTCAGATCACGTACTCGCCAGTCTCTAATCTTCAGTTTCAGTCTTCGACGTTTGCTGAAGGTTCTTTGGTGTGAGTGTTGTCTTCTTGAAGTATTGCTGTCTCTGATAGATTTACAATGCAAGCACTGAACATACTCAGTGAAGATCGCTGGAACTGAAAATACAGAAACACAAATACAACGTGAAAGAGAAAAAAGATTATCATCAAATCACTGAGAGAGAGGATCAACATAAATTAAAATGGGTACAAATTTTTTTACCGATAGCAACGACATGTTGTCACTACAGGTAAAATAATAAAATTAAAATTTTTACCTACTCATCACAAGTCGTCACAGTAGGTCCTGCTGCTTCGACATGTCGTCATTATAGAAAAACATTTATTTTTTAACTTTTCACCTATAGCAACGACATGTCATCGAAAGTTTTTAACAACAATTTGTCGTCACTATAAGAAACTACAACTAGGACAAACATTGACGAGCTCTTAGCGACGACGGTCGTTGAAATAGACATATAGCAACGAAATTTAGATCCTTAGAGTCATCGCAATAGGTTAGATTTCCTGTAATGTAATTCGCTAGCTGATAAGAGCCTACTGCGTGACAATAGAAAATTTAGAATTTGTCATTTCGTATATTGATTACAAAACCTGTGTTCGTAACCGGGTGTTTACGGGTCACATGCATATATAACTAATCTAATTTTTTTAACTTGTTGGGCCTAATCAATCCGTCCTTACCTGTTACAAATCAAGCAAGATGAGATTTAGCTTGAACCGTTTACTTTTGCCCATCTCTACATACAATTTTATGTTTTTTACGTGATGGCAACAGAAAAAAGAAAGTCCTAGTTTTAGAGGGAGGGTTGTGAAAGATATTTTAATACGAATAAGATGAGGAAAAGCTAAGGCAAGAGGAAAATGGTTGAAGTCTTGAAGAAATGGGGAGGAGGCAGTAGAGCACCAAAAAGAACTTATATGCCAAGTATTCAACTTATAAACAGTGTTACGAAGTTTTCCTCAATACACAAACACACAACAATGTTATCATGTCAATTAAGAAGAAAATAGTACATGGAATATATGGAAGAGCATGTACAATCATAACAAAGATACAAATCTTATTCTAGGAACATATTGTTATACAGTGGACGGACATGAATATAAATATTCGAGTAAGTCGTATGATACTACAAACATGAAATTAAGATATACATTAATGGTGAATTAAACGTCCATTCATTCCAATTTACTAACGAGGACTTTGTACTTGGCTTATCATGTCTTTCACTCCGGTAGTGCTAGAACTGGATTCTACGAAAGTATCAATATTATTGATAAGAGGAACAACGCAAAGATCATTTGGTTCGCTTTCAATCATTAAGCTACTCATTTCATTGTACTTGTTTAGACTAGTACCCCAAGGATGTTTGGTGAACTTCCTCAATGTTTCAAGCTCCATGGTCACTTCTTTCATGCTAGGCCTATTCTCACCTAATTGGTTAAGACATCTACATGTCAGGCCACATGCTGCTTTTAGCTGCTCATCAGTTGCCTCCTTTACCACTTCAAATTCAAGAATTTCAAGCAATCGGTTTTCCTTTATTGCCTTTTCAAAACATGTTGCAAGAGTTTGCTCTAGTAGGCATCTTTCCACAGCGATGGGTTTTTTTCCTGTTAGGAGTTCGGCAAGAACCACTCCAAAGCTGTACACATCACTCTTATCTGTTAGATGGCCTGTACGTAAATATTCAGGATCCAGATATCCCAACGTCCCTTGAACAAGTGTGGTGACTTGATCATGATTACCTAAGCGGACTAACCTTGAAGCACCAAAATCTGCAATTTTTGCTGTATAACTCTCATCCAACAAGATGTTAGTAGACTTCACATCTCTATGTATGATGGACATTCTTGCATCAGTATGAAGATAAGCAAGAGCACCAGCTGATTCATGTGCTATCCTTAGACGACTATCCCATGTCAATCTCCCCATGCCATTTTTTGTATTATGAATGTGATGATAAAGAGTGCCATTAGAGATAAATTCATAAACTAGCAATGGAACATCAGTTTCCAAACAAAATCCCAACAGCTGCACCACGTTTTGGTGATTGATTTGTGTAAGAATTTCCATTTCATTTATGAATTGCTCGCTCTGTCCTTTATCCAGTCTTTGGGACTTTTTGATTGCCACAACACGTTTATCCTGTAGATTTCCCTTGTACACAATGCCGTTGCCTCCTCTACCAAGAATCTTATCTTCTGCATACTTGTCAGTTGCTTCTTCAAGCTCTTCCGGACTGAAAATTTTCATGGGACCAACACCAATGCGACCTGTGATTTTTAGTTTCTCTTCCAATAGGACGCCCCCATTTTGCTCGAAAAATTTCTCCCTTAGTCTAACTAGTTTTTTTTTCTGGACCATGAAGTACGACACTGGCAATACAATCAATATTGAGAGTAATCCACACCCCACACCTGTATTTGATTATCAGCACATTAATCACCATTGTTTGACTTCTTTAGTTTTATTAAGATGGGCTTAGAAAGCACTGGAAGTGGTATGGAAAACAATGGAAAAAATTTGTGGACTGAGTGAAAATTGGACCAGTTGTATCTCGAGTGCAAGTAGTAGTTGCATCATTAATGTGGAAAGATCCCAACATATATTATTTTCTTCAAATACTTCGAGAATTAGAAAAAAAAAAAGTCGTGGTTAATTAATATTATGTTTTATTTTGTAAGACTAGAAAAGTACTCGCGCAATGCAGCGAGACACATCTCGATTTAATGTTCTATTTTATTATTTGTCTCTGTCGATGTTATAATACGATTTTATATGTTTTTAAAAAAACAATAATAATTTTATTTTTGAATAAGATATAAATTTGAAAATATCATAAAAAATTGAAAACAAAAAATATATATATATATATATATATATTAA